CGCCCCGTGGGACCCAGTGCTAAAACTATGAAGTTCATATGATATATCAAGATTCCAATCCGGCTCCATGTAGCCAATTGTACGAGCTCCTAGAGGAATTGAAAAAACACAATGAGGAATGAAAAAGATCTTTGGAAGTGGAAAAAATTCTTCATGGCCATATAGAGATGCAAAAGTCATTCGCTTACATGTTGAGAATAAAAACTCATGTTACCCTGCAAGAGCAATGGGTAAATGAAGACAGGGCTCGATTTAATACCTGGCTAGATGGAAAATATTTTTCGTACGTTTTCGACTACAAATCAATTCCATTTGAGGAATGGTTGGTTGAAAAGACCGGGGGGCAATTTTCCGCTCCATCTGTAATTAGACATCGGCCTAAGAAAATTGTTAATTTGGCTAAAGAACAAATGCCACCTATTTTTTCGGTCGAGACTAAAAATATGGTCGGCCAACAAGAAAAACCTAGGCACCTATTTTTTCGATCGAGGCTGAAAGTGTGGTAGGCCTAGAAGAAAATGTTTAAGTTTCTGAGCCAAAAATTGACTCAGAAAATAATTCGTCAGAAAAGTGTTCCAATGACGAACAAGACCAATTCATGGTTTCAGTTGAACAAACCACACCAATCGATATGGTATTTGACGATAAAGCTGATATGGATCAATCCCGTTCGGCCCAGTTGTTCGGGTTAAAAGCCGAAATTGGCGAAATTATTATGCCTGGGGGGCATAATAATTGTCCAACACATTCGGCGGCCGAAAGTTGCTGAGTCAAAAATATTTGGAGAAAATTCTTTATTCAGCCTAGAGCAAAATTGACACACCCCGACCGAGGTAGGAGCGTGCTGGCCGTCACACAAAGGTGACGTAGCCATGTGCACGTGCGGAAGCTAATAGAGTAGTAAAATGAAAGTACGAATAATTAAAAACTGGAATACTAGTACTAGAATAAGTGCTAGTTAGTGCGATACAAATTCAGAGCAGGTCTACAGCAGTCCAAATAAAACAACAACAGTAGTACGCCCGAAGGCGAACCTACAATGTGGAGTGTCTGTCAGAATGCCGGAAAGCTCGCAAGGGAAACCACCGCAACGGCTAAGCAACTAGAACCTGGAGGGGCGCAAAACAAAAGCGTGAGTGGGCAAAAACAAAGCTCTTTGAAAACCATTTAGCAAAACACAAACTAACCCCTCGCCGTAAAACCTGTATACTTCCCAGATAAATAACATATGTACGTATGTATAAATATGCCAATCATGCTCAAGGGTATGCCAATCTTAAAGCTTCATAATGATATGCAAGTGCTCAGGCATAAATCACATCAATCACGTATCACTGGTAGCCGGAGTCCCCTAAGTGACCTGTACGGCTAAATCTAGAGCCCAAATCTCAATCTCAAACACTAAACCTACCCACGAGTCGGAACCACCTATAGTGGTCTGTACGACAGGCCTGGGTGTAATACATATAAACGCTCTAGTGCTACGATCACGTGAAGGCTGTGCGAATAATCGCGGGTCACCTACGAGTCGGAACCACCTACTGTGGTCTGTACGACAGGCCTATGCACCTAACTTGGATCCAAGCTGAGCGTATGGTGCGGGAGGTGAACAACACGTGAAGGACTGTGCCCTACTCTGGGCGGGAGCACTAACACCGGGGGTGCAGGTTATGAGCTCTCTAAGCATCTCTAAACACTATGTAATGCAATCGTTAATTAACGCTTACCTGGCACTTACCTATGCCTCCACAGCACCCACACATAAATATATATGACATGTGCATATGTATATGTATGCCACGAATGATGCATGTAACGATGCATAAACGATAAATAATAAAGTACATGGCATAAGGCAATTAACCCTTTTTAAATCAATTTCTGGGAATATAAATGTATATAGGTAGATACGGAAAACAAAAGCCCACTCACTGGTATGTAGAAGGGTCGTAGCCCCCCTGTCTCGCCTGTGCACGCTCGTCCTCTGGGTACGTGTCACCTAGATGCGAAACAACTATAAAAACGTTAACTTTAAAGCACATAACCCGTTTCTCGTAATAACTTCTCATACATTGCTCAAAATGGACAAATGAATATACCAACGTGATCAACACAACCTCACGATCACAACCATATTTTTAAAATAATTTTTGGACACCTCACGCGCCCCCACGCGCCAGCACAGGCACGGGTCCACGCGCCCCCACGCGCGGCCACGTGACCTGCACACTGACGGCGTCAGGTGACGCCGTCAGGAATATTCCCTGGAATATTCCGTTAACCTTGACTGACGCCGTTAGCTTCTGTTAGGAATATTCCGTTAGCCTTAACGGAATATTCCCCTGTCTTCTCCGGCGAGCCGCCGCCGTCTGCGCCGCCGCCGGCGCCGCCGCCGGCGCCGGAAAACTGGAAATTTTTTAAACTTTGTTTTCTCACTCGTTTTTCAACCATTTTTCACGTTCTTTATACCAAAATGAAGCTTAGGACTAGTGGAATCACGTTAGACTACTCTTAAGGCCTAAAAATCAAAGAATCTCACCTGCAACAACGATCCAAGTTCGGCCAACTTTGAAACTAAGCTTTCCCGACGTCCAAATCCACCCAACGAAGTATTCCCAAGCTCCTTGAGGCCTCACTAACACATCTACAAGCTTAGAATGTCCAAAAACATACTAGATTAGGTTTGCATGAATAGTAACCCAAAACGGACCTTACGAGATCGACGTGAAAACGACTGGTTTCTCACCTGAAAATGGCACCACTAGACTCCACTCAGCTCCACGAGTTCAATGGTGGCCTTGGATCCCTCGATCCGTGACGTTTTAGGTTGTGTGGGTGTGTGTCCGTACATATAAGGTGGAGAAGAAGGGGGAGAGAGAGACACGGGAGGGAGAGAGTGACAGAGACAAAGACAGAGGGTGAGGGTGAGTGAGACAGTGTGTGTGTGTGTGTGGCCCAAGTTTTTCCAACACCACACAAACAACCAAACAACATAACAAAGTAACTAGGGGTAAAATGGTAATTTCACGCGTACGGTTCCGATAACTCCGGGACGGGATGTCACAAAAATCAATTTGAAAATTTTGTTATTACACGATCTCGACTTGGAATAAAGCATTGTTGGCCTCCTCCTTTTCATGGATCGGCCACTTTTATTCCTATACATTAGTTTTCAATTTTTTATGTATTTTCTTATCCATCTAGTTGTTTAAGCCGATGCATAAGAAAATAGGGGGGCAACGAGCACTGAGCCCTCGTAAAAACAAAAAAAAAAAAAAAAAAAAAAAAGGTGACAGAAATATGCATGCCTGACAACATCATTCCAAGGCCAATGGGCCAAGTTTTGATTTTGTTTTTTGTGGCTTTGGATTTATATATATGTGATGATGGTCTTCTGCCACTTTAAGACCTCGGCCAACGATGAAGTTCCTCGGTCACGAAACGTATCTAGCTAATGTTCCTCGACCACTTTTATTAGTTATATATAATTAGTTATGTATATATAGGCATGCTGAGCTCCAAGAACAATTTTTCTCGACCCTCCCAAATTTTTTCTCAACCTCGGCAGTCGAGAGCTATGGTAGCTGTCTCAATTTCTGCTCCATTGCAGCTTCTCTGCCATCACAAATGGGCTGTTGAAAACAAGTGGTACCCATCAGTTTTCAACTAAACAGGGGTTTCTTCGAACAAGAGTCATCTACTTCGCTGAGTCACTTCATTTTTCTACGATAGCGGGGGTTATTTGACTGCGCTAATTTCCTTAACCATTCAGCTTGTGGGCCTAAGATCAAGGAAACTGGGGGGCAATGTTTGGACCCGATTTTACACTATCAGTCCGAGTAATCAAGTGCCGTTGAAGGACAGGATGGTTGAAATGATTTTCAATTATTATTGAGAGATAATATTGTGATTTTAATCATGATATTATCTCTTAATAATATATTAAATTATTTAAACTTGATAGTTATCTATATCCCGATTGATTTGAATGTTTGGAATATTGGGATATGCGGCAGCAGATAAATATAGTGTCAAATGGTATATGCTTTTGGATGTGGCCACGTGAATGTGCTTGTTGGGATTTTATCCCATGTAACTTTGCATGCATAAGCGCCACCTGGATCAACATGGTGGAAATAAAGAAGGAAAACATTGATGTGAGGGCACGGTTTCCTAGCTGAACTAAGAGATAGTCTGAAGGCACGGTTTCTTTTGAGGGGTGCAAAGGATAAGGAAGGAAAAAACAAATGTTTTTGTTTTTTGAATAATGGTTAGAGTAAGATGATGATGACGACTAAAGGATAAGCTCTTGCCTATCTTAAGAAGTCTTTGACTGAAGTTTTGGCTAAACAAGTTTGAGTTGAAATCAAATTCTACAAGTCCAGTCCATGCAGAGCAAGTACTTCAATCCTATAAATACAGATGCAATGACAACGGGAAAAAGACATCCAATTCAACACATAACTGCCCTGCGCAAAACCTCTAAAACATCTTGAGATTTTTTATTTTCTTTTACCCGCCGACACATCTTCAGTTTAGATAAACAGCACTGTGAAGGCAACCGGCGAACATCTTCAGTTTGGATAAACAACATTGTTGCTGTAGAATCAACCATTCCCGAAGCACATTCAGTTTGGATAAACAGCACTGCGTCAAGGACGACTGGTTATCTATCCAAGTCTTGGTTGAGAAGGATTTTCGAATCCTTATTGCCATAGGTCATCTCATTAGCCTTCTCGGCGATGTGAGGTGTTACCAAGTTACTACATTCGGCACCCTGAGAGCCGAATTTGATATTGAACTTCACATAACTAGTAGCCTTGTCTTCAGGCTCGAGAATCCAAAGGCCGAGATTTGTTCCTTCCTCAGCCGCAATCGCAAGATCAAGAAGTCAGCAGCGCACTCAACGTAACATCAACAAATTTTACTCCTCGGCCGACGAGTTGGCATGCCTCGCATTCAACCGAAGGATGTAGTTAGCTTATTAGTTACTCGGCCTGTGCGCCACGTAGGCTTTATAATTTTTAGGGTCAACAACTTTATATTCAAATGTGGGCATAGTTGTATTGGTTAGAACGGATTTGCTCTCCATATGCTCCTCCATCTCTCAATAGTTTAGTCTAGATTCAAGTTGAATATTTTCCTTTCAACAAATTTTGTGTTAAGCACATCTTAGTAACAATTAATTACACATTCTCAAGTTCTTAACTCTAAACCCTTGTTATATAAATCGAGTTTCTCGGAAGTTTTACTTGTTTGGTGTTTTGTGAAATTACAGAAACGCAAACGGTCTTCAATCAATCCCTCAGATTGCTCAATTGAAGAAATTGGGTATGTTGCCTTTTTTCTCAAAGATTGTTTATTTTTTTCCGTATGTGTAGAAAATCTTAGAGGGCAAACCTTGGCACAATGAGAATGTTGCTCCTTTGTGATCGAAAGATCATGGGTTCGACTCATAGAAACAACCTCTTTTTGCAAAGTAGAATAAGACTGCGTACGATAGACATTCCTCCACAACCCTCGCAAAGCGGGTAGCCTTATTGGCATGAGGTCGCCCTTTATGTATAGAAAATCTTAATTTGCTGGGAAAAGATCAATTGATTTGCCAAGTTCGTTAATCTGCTTGAATTTGTGTTCCTGAATAAATAAGTTCTTACATCTTGAATCCTTATCCTGTTACACTTAATTTCCAGATGAATTGTTGGATAACGGTAAATCATCATCCACGGTGGTTGCAATTTCGGGGTGGATTTGCTCGGAAACCCCCCTGGAGTGCGAGTCTAAGGATCTCAAAGGCCTACGAGGTGTAATTGTGGCTAAAAAGGTACGCAAATTATGGTGTTTCTTCAGTGCGAACGCCCTTACACATCGTCCAACTATTACATTGTTATCTCGAGTGTAGAGATTTTTCAAGGTGCTCGAAATACGGGACAATACATCACATGTTATTATACAGTAAGAAAAAATTTTCTTTTTTAAATGTCTCTCCAATTATATAATGACATGTGGTGTTCTGCTCCGTGTGGGAACAAACTGAAAAATCACACAATTTATTATTATTAAGGAGGATTTTTTTAAGTGGTGACTTCGTTTATTTTGTTCTTATTCTTGTGTGAACTGGTAATAAACAATCTTGTTGATATCCTTTTTTTTTTTTTTGTGCTTGATTAAGTAAATATAACTTGCTTTTCGAATATATAAATTTTAACAAATATTTTCCGCATATCTCTTTTCTCTGCCTACGCACTTCTGTTTATTTATGTTCCTTGATTTTGTATATTAGGACGATGGAACTTTTCGTGTGAATGTAAGAGGAGCACAAGATGCCTCGGGCTTTACATTTCCGGCTTCAAGTTCAGTATTTGAAGCAGCAAAAAGATGTTACGATTGCACGTCAAAAGATGATCCCAAAGCCCTCAAGGTTTGTTTTCTGCAGTAATCTTTAAATCTGAAAAAATCTTCCTTGCAGTTCAAGTAATATGTTTGCTGGTTTGTCTTTAGATCCTTGGAGTCGTACGAACGGAACTGGTACTTCCCGTGGGTACTCATCTGAATGTCATTGGTGAGGTATGTAATATGCGGATACAGGCACCACGCGAAGGGCCATTTTGTCGCAGGAAAATCTTTGATGGAGCTTTTGTTGATTATACATTCTGTCTCTTGACGTTTTAAATTATCGTTCAGGCTGTCAGAGATAGCACCGGTAACATTGAGATTCAGGCACCGAGCGAAGGGCCATTTTATGTCTCTCGCAACACCACCGTTGTTTCCCTTGTTGAAGACGAGAGGACTGGCGCAAGGTTGTGTATAAAAATAATCCTTGAATGCATACAAGCATGTGTTTGCTAGTGTGTCTGCGTGCACGCATTGTGCATCTGCTGTTGTGCATCTTCGTGTGTGCTTTCTCCAATGCTAGTTAACATAAATTGTCTTTGCCAGGATTATGAAATATTTATCTTTCGGTTTGATTGTGATTGGTCTCGCTTTTATTGGTGTTGAAGTTGCCGTATATGTCAAGAGGGAACTAAGGCGTCGTCAAGTGTTGCGGAGAAGGTACAGACGAGATAAAGAAGAATCACAAAAAAGGTAAGTTTCGCCCCAAGTTGTCGCGTATATTCCAAAGTTGTCACAGATCATGAAAATATGTTACTTCCAGTGTTTCATTTGTCTGTTGATACCCATGAATGGACAGCGAAATTCTTACCCTGCTTGTGCAGGGATGTTGCTGCGGCTACTAAAAACTCTCGGGAAGATGATGAAGGTAGGTTTTGGAGTGTCCAACCGCCCCTAATACATTTGATGTTATTCGCGCAGTTTATGCATTGCTCGCAGTTGTACTAAAGGCTTCACTTTTCTTCTTCAAAATTTAAGCAAAAATGCCGTGGACGTATCAGATGGTACCGATTTATGTTTTTTTTGGGCATTCGATACACTGATACATAATCGAATTTGTGCAGGTGGTGAAGTAGACTTTCACCGCGTAAGATTTGGCTTCAGATGTTTTTAGCTGCTCCAGTTGATGAAGAAGTCTCCCAGATTGGGTCATATCTTGTATAAGGATACTGAAGGCCTAAAGGATTCTTAATCGTTCTGTCTTGAAACTTGTTTGCTTTAGAATGCCTTTTGCTTTTGTGGGTGGAACAATGTTATTAACTTGTAACTCACGCATTAACGGTCAGAAATCGTGGACATAATTACTAACTGTAACAGTTTTTGTATATGATGTTTCACTTCCGTGATGTTAACCATCCCTTTTCATCACCATTGCTGTTAAAAGGAAAATTTATGGTTTGTCGGAAACACGGTTTGGTACTTCAAATGTCATAATACAAGCAGTTGAAATTGTTTTTTTTTTAAGTATCCAACCACTTGTTATGACACATATATACTGAACCGTGTTCTCTGCTCACTAAAAAACCTCTCGCTCTTAAGGGTTTTTATCCCTCCAATGTTTTATGCTCAGTTTTTCAGCTCAAGCAAAAGTATTGTGACCACAAACTTTTTTACCTTTACATTTTTTATGTAGTTTAAAAAGGCTCCAAGAAGGAGCCGAGCATGCTCCAGTCAAACTCAAACTGTATTATAATGAGACTTACGAGGATAGGTAATGAGTTAAGATTAAAATAAATTATGCTATGCATCATTATTATTTGACACATTATTATTTGACACGGGAACAAAAATTAGGCGACTAAAATTGAGAGAAACGAGGCCGTGTTCGAATTTTGGACCAAAAACCTAGTCTTGATGAAAATAGTGTCTGGACTCGAAATGGTTCGGCTTAAACCCAACTTGAACTTGTAAATCTATGACCAGACAGTCATAGTCATTTAGTATTACGGTTTAATGGTATTTCTTTTCACTTGTAATTGAGAGGTCTTAGGTTCGATTCTCGTCACATGCGAATTTGAACCACGTTATTGCTAGCCTATTGTGAGGCTTAGACCACTTTCCCACCTCTAGTGGCGGATCCACGATTTCAAGATCGGGGGGTCCCAAGATAAAAGTTCAAAAAAAAAATATTAGACTAATTTGGTTCTATATCGCTATTTTCTATTGAATTTTGTTAATTGACTAAATCAAGATTAATCTCAAGGGTAATAAAACCAACAAATTTTCCTCCACAACATAACACAATTAATGACTCTACAAAGATAAAATTTGTTAATGTAACATATATATTATTAATTGGGAGTTGGGACTAGAGTTTCGGATTAAAAAACTTATATGAAATTGGAAGAAATAAAATTAGGTAGCTAAAGGCAGTGGAACGTAAATGGTGGTGGGGGATAAGGTAACTTGGGTTTAAAGTTGGAAGGTTATGACGATTGGGGTTAGGAGTTTTTAAATATAATTTGGGGATACTGGAAAAGACAGAGATTCTTGATCTCTGTAGAGAAAACAGAGATAGTTTAGTTTTTAAATTTTTTATAATGACTTGACTCAAAAACGTTGTCGTTTTGGCTAGGTCTTTTAAAACAAAAATTAAAAACCTCTTCTTCTTCTTCGTTATAAGCATTGTTGTCTACACATCCATAAAGGCAACAAGCCTCTCCACTGCACTTGCCCAAATTGTTGGAGGGTCTCGAAGGTCGATCACAAGTGTTTCTTCGGGTTTCCGAAAGGTCCTAGGACCCCCCGGGTCCCTAAATGGATCTGCCAATGCCCTCCTTAGTTTAGATAATATTGTCTTTTCGAAAAAACAAGAAAAAATAGCAACACAAATCATCTTTTCACGCAACTATTGAAGAAAAAACTTTTCAATATGCTTGAAACACGGTCTAATACATTGAATGTCATAATACAATTAATTAAAAAAAATTACTTTTTAACTAATTGTATTATTACACTTAATCTGCTAGACTCTGCACACTAAAATATAGCTCGACGTTACAGATGGAGTAGTAACGACTTACATCTAAGGAGGACGCTCAATGTAGCGGTATCTCAACTGAATAATGTCGTAGGCACCAACTAAAATTAACTGACGTGGGACCGACCATTTACTCCTCTCTTTGCACACAGTTCCTATCCCCAAACCGAAAACTTGTCACCCGCTCTCTCTCCCTCCCTCCCTCCACACACTCTTCTTCCCCCACTTCCCCCGCCCTTTCCAACACTCCTCGTATCCGATTCCGTCCCCCCCCAAATCCCCCTTCCCAATTTCCTTCCTTTTCAACTTTCCCGGAAAAGAAACAGAAAATTTCGACAATCCTTTTCTCTGCGACTTCCTATTTTCCTAGAATCTCCCTCCTCTCTTTCCCCTTTCTCTCTCCCAAAATCCCTAATTTCAATTCGGTTCGATATCTTTCCATCAAATTCGCCTTAAAAGATCAGTCTTTCGTGTATGATTTCTGTCTGGGTCCGGTTTTTGAGCTCTGACGCCTCCGGTATTGGCGTAACAATGGCGGAGAGCAATAGCGCAAGGGTTTGGAATTAGGATATCGATCTTTGCGGCGGTTAAAAATGCTACCTTGGGGTGGATTGAGTTGTTGTCTGAGTGGAGTTGCTCTTTACCTTCTTGGCAGGAGCAGTGGCAGGTCAGTGTATGCTCCGTTTTTCGAAATCGAATCGGCTTTAATGATGATCAAATTACACATTTTTCAATCGTGAATCACCTTTTTTTTTGTTGGTAATTTGAAATTTGGTCTTTTGTGATTACACAGGGATGCAGAGATTCTTAAATCCACCACTCGAATTAATCAGTTGAAGGAATTGGGTATGCGCCTTTTTTCGAAAGCGAAAGATTAGTTTTGCTTCAATTTTTTGTTTTGGTGCCTTGTTTGAATCAAATATATTTTCATGTGGTCCATCTTCTAGAAAAAGATTTACTTACTTTTATTTTTCGGGTGATGCCGTTAGTCTGCCTGGATTTGTTCCCTGAATTAGAGTTCTTGTGTTCTTTCACTTTTCAGCAAAATTGTTGGATTCCGAATGTGTATTGCCATTGGTAGTTGCGGTCTCAGGGAGAGTTAGCTCTGAAACCCCCATCAACTGTGAGTTCACTGGTCTAAGAGGCGTAGTTGTGGAGGAAACGGTACACAAATGTTATAACTCTAAAGAACATATTTTGATGCTTTCATTGGTGGTGTGGTGGTGTTTCGTTTTCTTACGTGTGATTGGTAATTAACTATGTTGTTGATCTTCTTCAGGCAGAACAGCATTTTCTGAAACACAATGATGCTGGCTCATGGATACAGGATTCTGCTTTGATGCTTTCAATGAGTAAAGAAGTCCCCTGGTACTTGGTGAGAATTTGTACTCTCTCTCTCTCTTTCCCTAGCTTTTCCTCTCCACACATGTCCAGTGCTTATTGAGTAAATATTTTTTTGGTTCACTTGGAGCTGAAAGTTGGCCAACTCCACTTCGTGGGATAAGGCTTTGTTGTTGTTGTTTGTTGGATTTGAAAGTTCACTAACTCGATATGATGGTGGTTCCTGGATTCTTTATATCAGGATGATGGAACTGGTCGCGTGTTTGTGGTGGGAGCTCGAGCTGCCACAGGATTTCTATTGCCGGTTGCAAGTGAGGTATTTGAAGAGTCAGGACGATCCCTCGTACGTGGGACATTAGATTATCTCCAAGGCCTCAAGGTTTGCTTAGTTTAGTAATTGTTGTATTGTATCTGGAAAACTTCAATGGTTTAACTAATACAATGGCTACTTTGTCTCAGATGCTTGGAGTCAAACGAATTGAGAGGGTACTTCCAACCGGTACTTCTATGAGTGTTGTTGGTGAGGTATGTCTAGTTTAATATGATACTGTATCCTGTTTATTACAAATACTTAAATAGACTAAAAGCTAAAATATAGAAGGTAATATTCCGATGATATATACGTTATACAATTACTTGTTACACAAACGTGATTAGTTTAGTATGGTCTCAAAATGTACTTGAGTTGGATGATCCTTGTTCCAAAAATGATCCGTGTCCCATAGAAGAACTTGCATTCTTGTAAAACGGCCTGAAGCTGTAGTTTCATAATTAGCATTTAATTTTCAGGATGTTATTTGTTGGGAATATTTGTGCATTGCAATGTTATGATGTACACACTCATTTGATGCTTTTTCTTATTGCTTGATATGTGTCAGGCTGTCAAAGATGACATTGGTACAATTCGGATTCAACGACCTCAGAAAGGGCCATTTTATGTCTCTCCCAAGACCATTGATCAGCTTATTGCAAACCTTGGAAAATGGGCAAGGTCATTTATAACTTAATAGGAATGCCATAGTGTATATTAACATTTTGTGTGCATGAGTAGGTCCATGGGCTGGTGTTTT